ATTACGCCAGGAGTGTGTGAGGAGAAATACCATTTTAAGCCTGGGACATTCTCATTACGCCAGGAGTGTGTGAGGAGAAATACCATTTTAAGCCTATCTTATGATTCCTGCCTATCGAAATTAGCTTTCCATAGAACATTCGCAAACACTGAGAAGTTTATAACAGCGAAAGTCATTAAAGTAGTGGACTCTTCTTGAAATAACAGCGTTTTTATTCTGTAGCACAGAATGTTGGGGGGGGGGGAACCACGCAAAATAGAAACCTTTCTCCCATTCAGCCCAATGACTTTATTCCTAAAGAACAAGTGGTTGAAAGACATGGGCGGAGCAAAAAGCAGAGGTACCAATCAGGGCCAGTGTTCCAAGTCGACTTAAGGTGGCAAAAAAGCAGACAGATGAAATCACCTCCGTGAATGGCTAGGCTACATGCGCACGCGCACAACGCATAACACAGGCACTACCACCTGAAGACCCACCCCCGTTGTAGCGAACTCACCCGCACCGTACCCCATGCAGCCCCCCAAGGCCCGTTTCCTGCCAAAATAAACCTAGTCGCCTAAAACAAACCAACCAAACGTAACAAGGGGAAGTAGTGCTGTCCCGGGGCCAACTCCCTCCGCCGTCTCAAAAAGCAGTGCAAACACAGTACCACTACCAGCACTGAGTGACCGCGAGGGGGGCGGGAAGGGAAACACTGACAACAGTGGGATGGATAATGTCAAAATAGTCTCACCAATTCCTCGTAGCTCCTGTTGTGCTCATTGCCCTCCCAATCCAGCCTCTTCGGCAACAACTAAAAAGACAAGAAATGACATGAGTGCCTAACTCGAACGGGAGCGCACCGGGGGCGGGGGACCTGGCGAGCATCACTCTAGGGGCAAGGTCGGGAGGAGGGGACGAGGAGGGACTGGGCGGGCGCGCGGAGGAGACGCACAGACCTGGTACTGCTCCAGCTCCTGCACCAGCACCTGCAGCCGAGAAGACGCGCAATTAGGGGTGGGCCTGGGACTGCGCCCCCGCTCCATCCCAAGCCTTCCACCCAGGACCTCCAGTGGCAGCGGCGGAGCCGGGAAGCCTGAGGTGGTGGTGGCGGTGGCGGTGGTGGTGGAGGTCGCCGCCGCCGCCAACCACGGGGCTCGTACTCACCTGGGCCGCTCTCCGACACGGGCCCGCCGATAGGTACCGGGCGATGAGAAAATACAGTTCTGCGGGAAGACAGGGAATCGGGTCATAACCGGGACGGTCGGGAAGGGAGGGGGCGGCACCCGGAGCCGGGCAGTCGGAGCCGGGAGGGGGACCGCGGGGAGGGGCGCAGTGTGGCCTGCGTCTTACCTGACTCGATGAGGGGGACCGGACGTCGGGCGGATGAGGGCTCCGCCATGGCTCTGCGCAACTCCGGAGGAAGGAGCAGGCAAGCGAAGAGTGTAGGCCTCGCCAAGGCCTGCTTGGACCGGCGTCCCTCTATCCCAGGCGCGCTGCCGCGTCCGCCATGCTGTGCGCGCCGTCTGCGTCCGACTCCTCCGCGGAGGGAGTAAAAAAATAGTTCCTCCGCGGAAGGGTGACTTCTGCAACAGGAAGACACACAAATTGGCCTCCACTCAGACGATTGAGCCTCGCCCCTCTTTCCCGCAAGCTAGGGTAGTAGGAAAAGAATTGAGTGGTAGACAAAGACTTAGGTCCTAGGAGAGAATGAGGTGTGGGAGGGGGAGGAGGGACGCGAGTTGGGGGGATCCTTGCGCGCGGTGAGGCGTAGGCCGGGTCATTGTCAGGCGCCTGCGCGGCGCGGATCAGCTGCGCGGCGGGTGCTTGCGGTGCAAGTTCGCTTTTGGCAGGGGGCGAGGGCTTGGGTGGGATCGGAGTGTGTCACCGCTGTGCCTAGTCCAAGTCGGCCGGGGGTCTAAGCGGCCCTCAGCAGACGCGAGGGCAAGGTCATACACTTTAAGTAGCACTATGGAAATATTTCACGGACAGTCATTTGGGGCTAAGGAATTTGCCCTCCATGAAGACAGCACGTTTCGAGGATACGAAAGTCTCAGCCTTGAGGGTTTCGTCCCCGCATTGCAAGGCAAGAGAACAATGTCAGCCTCAAGAAGCCTTCCCTGGGGAGGGAAGGAAGAATGCGGGAACTCTACAGGTCCGAGGGAAAGGGGACGCCGCAGGCCAGAAAGACGCTGCGGCTTCTGCTCCGGGCTGCTTCTGGGCCCTGCTGAGTGTCTGTGGACCCTGCCCCTTGCCGGTTTCGTATGTGGCAAAAATCTGAGACTCTGCGTGGCCATACACAATATTGAAGGAGGGCTAGAAACGGGGATGAGTAAGACTAAGCCTCAGCCCCCAGAGAATCCAACCGTCTAGAAAAAGAAAGTTAAATAAAATGCGGTACACCGTTGATGTATAAATCTCGCTGTTGAGGGAAAACAGCCCAGAGTTGATGACGACTTGGCTGGGTTTGCCAAAGTGCGAGTATGAAAGGGAAATGGGAGAGCAGCCCATTCCCACGGATAAAAACAGGTTTCCAGAGGTGGTGGTGGGTGCCATCTAATCGACTAAGACTCAGCAGCAACCCCATCAACAACCATGTATGATTAGAAACTCTTTGGAAGGTATCTGAAGTTGGAGGGTAGCAGGGCCAGGAGAAATCCCCTAAATGGAATGCGAGTGCTTCTAACTAAATTGTAATTGTTCACAAATTCACCCACACATTCACTCATCATACTCCATGTGCCCTGCAATGAGTCAAAGTTACAGTCTAAGTGCACATTGCAACTCTTTCTCACTGCTTACTATAATAACCACAAAAACATAAAGGTTAAATAGAGCAAACCAGAGCCAATTTGGGTATAATAGACTGCTTGGACCTGTCACACCTCTACTGTTTATTATATTTATAGTCTGAGCCACTTAATCTAAATTCCTTAAAATTTCCTCATCTGTAAAATGTAGGTAATAGTTACACCTACCTATGGAAATGTAGGGATCCAATGGGTTAATGTGTGTTCATAACAAAGTAAAACCATATATATGTTGTTATATACACTAAATAGCAAAAGCCCTCTTTAGATGTAGATAAACCACCTGGCTGGTGCAAAATATTTGAATGTTAATGAAGAATTGTAAGTCAAGTTCACCCAGAGTCACCTGGAAAGAAAAACCTGGCATTGTATGTCTGAAAGATCACAAACACACTTAAGCCTATGGGTTTCAGTTTACACAAACACGTGGGGTCGTTGTGAGTCGAAATTAACTTGACAACAACTAGTTTGGTATAGATATACCTGAGAGCAAGATACAAATGTTACCCATACTTCCTTAAGTCTGTTCTTAAATGTTTGTTCAACTGACATATACTATCAACTGATAGAAATATGAAGAAATTCGTATGGCCACAATTTTGCCTTCAAAGGATTCAGTGTCTTTTAGAGGAAACAGATATAGTGACAAAACTTAGGGCAGAGAAGAAGGGAAGTAAATTTCGCTGTGGGAGGGAGATATGTTGGAGACACATATAAACAAAAAAGGTTAATACATCACATTTCAAGCTTAGGGTGGCATCAAGATCTACATTTAGTCTTACAAGTTTAAATTGAAAAGCTTAGTGTGGTTGCTTAGGGTGACATCAAGATCTACATTTAGTCTTACACGTTTAAATTGGAAAAAAAAATGGAAAAGTTCAAAAGAGGGAAGGATCCATTTCCATATTAGAAAGGATTTGAGAGAGGCAAGATCAAGAGGCACTAAAATCACTTTATAGACTTTTGCAACAGGAACAAAATGAAGATGCAATAATGCAGTGGAATTAAGAATGGAGAGGAAGAGACAGGGTCAGAAATGTGTAGTTGATATAATCAGCAAAATGAAGTGTGCTAGAAATGAGAACATACAAAGAGTCATGTAAAAATATCAGTCCAGGACTTAGTGGATGAAGATTGTGCCACCAACAGACAGCGAATACAGTCTGTATGTTGGCACAACTTGAAATTTTTAATAGAGCAAGCTTGGAAGCTGGAGTGGTATCCACTTCCAAAATAGCTTGCCTCCGGAAACTATGAACTTGGAGAAATGATGAAAGTTATACAAGTGTTCAGGTCTTTCATTCATAGGGTCGCTATGAGTCGTCTGTGACTCGATGGCACTTATCAAGAACAACGTATTCCTGTGGGAGCTTTGACAACTTAATGGTAAGGAGTGGTATTGCCAACCCAAAGATAAGTTCAAATCCACAAGCTTCTCCATGGGAGAAAGATGGACAGTCTCCTGTACAATTTATTGCCTCTTAAAACCCACTGGAGGGTCAGCTATGAGTCTATTCTGACTCAATAGTATATAACAAAAACATATTGCCAAGTTAGCATCTGAAAAAGACATCAAGATTTTGAAAGGTCAAAGTTATCTTGTAATTATTATTATATAATTATTATTATAAAAGATAGCTCCCCAAAGAGAATTCAACTGGTAGTAATTGTCCACAGATATAAATCTGGTGTGAGCAGCATGGTAAGCACTGCAAGAGATCAGAGAAATTAGACACAGATTTTCCTTTGCAAGAACATAAAGAGTTCATTTTGCCCCTTTAAGACCTGTTACAAATACTATCCTGAAATTATAAATACAGACAAAAGTTTCAGGCAAGAGGCAAAAGATCTACTCTACTCAGCCTCCATGCGATAGAAAAGAAAAGGTAATATAACTGGTTATCAGAAACTCATAGTGGCCACCTGCCAGATATGGTCTTCAAGCATAGGGAGAACTATGTCCCATCACAATTGAAGCCAAACATTTTTAAAATGCATACTGTATTTTGCTTCCATGCAAATGGAAACTATTTTTAGTTTCACCACAGGATATCAGAAAATTGTTTGGTAAGCAAAGGCAAGATCTTAACAGATCATAATAACAAACAATGATGGTGTCTCCCATTTCCACTGTAAGGATACATCTTCCAAGGGACTAGGGATTAACATATTTCAGTTGTTGGCAAGCAATTGCTGTCCTGGATGGACATTGCTGATCCTTACAACATCTCCTAGTCAGGTGCTTCTTTAACAGGGAGGAAGCTGAGGCCACAGGAAATTGAGAATGGCCTATGGCATGAGGCTAATAAGAAATGGAAGCCTGGCCATAACCCCAGGTAAGATAATCATACTTCAACTGGGCAACAACAGAAAAAAATATAAGCACTGCAGAATTCTTTCTCCATTACATTTCAGGAAGAAACTAAAGCCTGAAGAATAGGGGATTGATTTGATTTACACAAGTTCACACAGCGAGGGCATCACAGTGGTGGCACTTTACATGCATGATATCCTTTATCACAGAAGATATAATCTATTATTATAGATATGGAGTATAAATATAAAATTGAGGATATCACAGATGACTAAATAGAAAATATAATCCATCAGTCTAACTTTAAGGGTGAGAAAACAGGCTTGAAAATTTAGAATATGCTTTTATTATGGTAAACCTTTTTTAAAAAAAAAATAATTTAGTAAGGTTACCACTTAGAAGAGGCAAAACGTGAAGTATGAGCAGTCATTAGATGTCATAGAGTTAACTACAATTCAGCAACCCTATGAATAACAAATCTGAACCTTGCCTGATCCCATGTCATCCTCACAATCTCTGCTGTGCTGAAACTCATGTCAATCCATCTCACTGAGAATCTTTCTGTGACCCTCTGACTTTCCCAGCATGATGTCTTTTCCCAAACAAACACCTCCTGACAACATGCCCCAAATATGAGATGAAATTTCACTATTCTTGCCTCTAAGGAACACTCTAGTTGCACTTCTTTCCAGACAGATTTGTTCTTTTGGCAATCAAGCTGTATTCAATACTTTTACCAACACCACAATCAGAATCTGTCATTCTTATTCATTGTTCAACTTTCAGGTGCATAGGAAGCAATGTAAAATACCATGATTTGGTTTGAAAGAATATCCGGAAAATGGTTAACAAACCAGTCTGGCTCCAACTCTCCAGAGTCATCAAAGATGATAATTAATAATATTTAAAAAATAAGGAAATCTAAGTGGTGAAGATGTTGCAAAGAAAATTGATTATTTAACTTCGAGTATCAGTATGTCTAATGCAAAATGTTAGTTGACTTTAGCTTTTATTCATCAGGCAGGCATTGTTAAGATATGCACAGCATTGACACTCATTTTGAGTTGGCATAGAGTTAATGGTTCTGAACCTACATAAAAATGAATACATACATGACAGCAAAATCAAGTGTGCACACAATCTGGATCAGTACATTTTACAAAAAAATTGAAGTCTGTGTAAGGTAGGCACCATATATTAAATATTGGCCTCTAAGCTTCTACTAGCCAAATCCCATAGAAATCAGAATATGTAACATTTTGACATTTTTTCAGAGGT